CTACTATCACTTGCTTTTGAGGCCAACAACGGCTAATGTAATGAACATTTTAAAAGCACAATTTGCCATATGGATGCTATAGCAGTTATCTGCTCTGTTGCTAAACATAGCAGAGTATTAGCTGGATATAACAGCTTTTGCACTGGCACAGAGGAAGTAGCAGATTGGCCAAGAACTGTTCTAACAGGTGCTTTCTGCAACTGCAATAGAAAATTTACAATCTTCTCTGAGCTTCATTCACTACAAAATTTTTGAATATACATATCAGTAGCTAGGGTAGAAATACTACTTCAAGAGTGCTGCCCTGATCTGACACAGATCAGAGCTTCCAGTGAATACAGTGCTTTATAAACACAATAGTGGTGTATCCATTTCATTCTTTGTGATCTCTCTCCAATGTCACTGTCCTTTTTTTTTTTTAAATTTTATTGGGGAACGGCCATGGTCATTGGTTACACACTGCTTTTATGCTACAATGGCATAATTGATTTCTTTTTTTTAGGGAGGGCATAGCTCACAGTGGCCCATGTGGGGATTGAACCGGCAACCTTGGTGTCATCAGCACCACACTCTAACCAACTGAGCTAACCGGTCACATCCCACTGTTACTGTTCTTGATGAGGGCTGTTCTCTTTCCTGTCTGGACTATTACAATAAATTCCTAACTATTTTCTCTGTTCTAAGCTTTTCCAGCCATGCAATCATTCACCATGTTGTGTTGGTTCACTACACTCCCATGGTCGAGAATCTGTAATGGCTTCCTCATACTCATTAAGTAAATTCCAAAGGCTTTGGTATTTTGGTATCACATTGAAAAGATTCCATAAATGGGCCAAGACTGTCTTTAAAAAAAAAAAGGCTTTTATTTCCAAATTGCTTCATACTCTAATATGTTTTTACAATTTTTAAAAATAAGATAATTTCTATATATGTGATCTATCTATCTATCTATCTATCTATCTATCTATCTAATCTTTCTAGTAAGTGTCTGCTCTATTTTTGAAATTTGGAATTAAGGTTTGGTGCCTGAATCCATTCACCCTTCTTTCTGCTGAAGAAGACAATATGTATATAGATAAGTAATTAAATGGGAATGAAATAGCACTGATGTATGTTCTAATAACCAGGTGAGGAACACACCTGATAGGTGATGGATTAAACAATAAAGCTTAGACTTGAGACCACTGTGATTTACTTTACTCCACCTAAAAGATTGGAAACCAGGCTGGCTTTCTGCTTTTAGGAAGAGCTTTTTGCATCTGATTGGAGGCATGATGGAGAGGCAAGGGCTGGAATATCTTTCATATAATGTGAGGCATCAAATCCCCAAACACTAGTGAAAGCCTCAATTAGTTACTTCTTTGACCATTGCTTTTCTGTGGGAATGTTGTTTCCCTTGTTTTATTCATTGACATAACTATTCAAGTCTCTGGTCAGCTGAGATGCCAGTGCCACATTTTAGAGGAAAAAAACAAATATATGAGAGGAATCCTTGTCTTAACACAGGATTTAATACTACTCCTTTCAAACCCTTCTTGGAATCATTAGGATATGCCATTCAGCACCTGCACACACAGGAAGGACATTGAAATGCACCAGAATAGATATTACTAATTTAGGCCCCTGAAGCTTATGCTGAATGTTCACCTTCATTCTACTTTTTAACATGATCACCATAATTCTATGGATAATAATTAAATTTAAAATACAAGACCAAAAAATATTATAGAGACTGTCTCGCCTTTTATTCAATGCCCAGAGAAAGTAAAGTCCAAAAAGAAAAAAAGAAGACCCTGCCCCTTGCTAAATTAAATAAGAAAAACCATCTCCTCACTGTTTTATTTATTCCAATTTCAGTCAAAGAGATCACAGTTCTATAGAGCAGGCAATCTTCTAGCATCGGCTTCATAATGGGCCATGTTCCCCCAACATGGATGTGCCTTCATCAGCAGCATTTTATTGAAAAATGAATTAACCCAGTACTAATGCCTGTGTGTGTTTCCTATTCCAAAGGGTGTGAGCCAATAAAGCACAAAAGAATTTATCTCAAGATAAATGATATTCCCGAGATTCATATTAGTGTTACCAGCAAAAGAAAATAGCAGACTTTTAGCATTCTCTAGAAAAAAATGAGAATAACCTATAAAATATGAAGGACTGGTTTTAGCTCTTCAAAATTCCAGTCAGCCTCTGTATATATTTTAGAGTTCACCACCTTCAACTTACATTAAGTAAAAAAAAAAAAAAAGGGAACTCTTCTGACAGTTAATTATGACTTTATGCTTTTCTGATGGCGATACAATAATCATGAAGTAAACTATCTGTGCTTTCTCCTTTCTTCCATAGTAACATATAAGAAACTCCTATCACTGTACATATTTTAAAAATTGGTAAATATTTAGAAATAACTGGTAAAGATGAAAAAAAATAGTAATCAAATTATAGTACCTCCAGGATTCAGGATTTCTATGAGGTTTTCTTATTCTTACACGGTCACCCTTCATATTTAAAATAATTTAGCTTCTATATCTGTTTGAAATTTTGTCCTAGGCATCTCGATATTCAATCAACTTTGGGCTCTCTCTAAGTACAAAGCAGCTACTATATTTTATTAGCAGTGATGACCAAATTTATAATAGGCAACGCTCTTATCAAAATTAATAGCCTTGCATTTTCAATGCTCTAAGTCCTGACTTCTCTCTCTGTGTCTCTCTTCATCTCTAAGAAAACTGCAGTTCATTCTTAACCCTATGGTATAATGAGCACAGATTTTTCCTAGTCCAGAATTTCTTCGGTCAGTATTTTTCATCATTGCTGCCATCTGAATCACCTAGGAAGCTTTTAAAAATACCAGTGCCTTGGTTGCATGGCATGCCCACTAAATTAGAAGATATGAATTAGGTTATGAATCTTTTTTAAAACTACCAAGACTATTTCAATGTTCATAGGGTTCATAGGCCAATGCATCCTATACTTTATTTTTAAATAATCTTGTTGGTTGTTTTTCTCTACCTATTCCAGCAAGATAGATGGTGATCATAAAATGAGTAGAAAAACAAAGATGAAAATTATGCACCAGTAATCAAGTAAATATAAACTGAAACCTCAAATGTTATTTTGAACTATTCTAACGAATTTAAAAAAAAATTGGTATAAAGAGAACATCCTTTGGTAGAAAAACAAACAATAAACTAGGCTTAGATAATCAGTTTTTGTGTGTGGCTTTATCTGACTAACTTAGGTAGAGATTAACTAAGTTAAACAAGACTGGGGAACAACTTGGTATGGCGGGAAAAGAGTGTTTCTTAGAATCTGACTGATGGTTCACATTCTGAGTGAGGTATTTATTAGCACCTTAAGTGTCCTCTCTGAGCTTTAGCTACCTAACATGTAAATGGTGGAATATTATCTGCTCTCAGTGTTATATGGATTAAGGAGTATCTATGAATCAGACAGCACAGTATATGGTAACAAGTAGTCAACCACTTACTGGTTCTTATTAACTCCTGCCCTGCTAAATGATTATCTTTTTGTGTCTTTTTCAATTTCTTCAATTTGATATGCACAGGTTTTAGATATTTAGTAAAGGGATGAATAAATGGGCCTCATAAAAATAAAAATTCTTGGTTTTATGATAAATGTTAAATCAGGCACACACAGGGGCCTCCTGGAATGGTGGAGAGAGGATATCTGTAAATTCACTCTTCCAAACAGTGACAAAAACACTGGCAAGGGCCGGCCGAATGGCCACTTGGTTAAGAGTTAGCTTAAGAGTGTCAGCTCTGAGCAACAGGGTCGCTGGTTCGATTCCCATGTGGGCCAGTGATGCTGCTCCTGAGCTGAGCTGCCAACAGGTGTCAGGATGGCTCAACTGGTGAGAGCACGTGCTCCTAACAAGACTGCCTGTTCGATGGTGGGCTACGCCCGCCCGCAACTAAGACTGAACTTGGCACCTTGAGCTGAGCTGCTGCCCGGATGGCTCAGTGGATAGACCGTGTGCTCTTAACAACAAGGCTGCTGGGGTTGACTCCCGCATGGGATGGTGGCTATGCACACCTGCAACTAAGATTGTAACACACCATCTTGAACTTAGAGGCCAGGAGCTGCCGACTGGCAGCCAGATGGCAACTGGTGCCCTCCACAACTAAGATTGAAGAACAACAACTTGGCTGTTCCCCTCCCCCAATTCCCAAAAGCAAACAAACAAAAAAAAACACTGGCAAAATTGTCAAAATTATCCTTGAGAACTCTGAAAATTAACCAAAAACTTCCAACAGTGTGAGGATATTTATTCAAGAAAAACTGATGAATTTCTCTAAGGACAGAAGGCATTTAAATATGGCCCCACTCCCAGTAGTCTTGAAAAACAGCAGCCTCTGAAGCACAGATGCTGTAAAATCAAACACCCTAGCAGCTATCAGAGAGCAAACCAGGTTTGGAGCTCCTCAGAAAGTTCATCCCTAGAGGTATGTTACTGTTTGACCTGTATGGCTGTTTCTTATTTGACTGGGAACTCCTTCAGTGGGAAAATCCTATCCCCAGGGCGTTGTTGAAAATAATCACAGGAAATTGTTTAACATTGCAGCTGCCTAAGGATGTGATACCAGTTAAACACACATAAGACTGAATAAAAATTTTAAAAGAAGATCTGGTGAATGAGATGCCCAGAGGCAGTTTTGAAAAGTTCTGGTATACGAGGTCTGACAATTAAGTTCGCGAACTCATCCTAGAAAATGTGCTACATACTCATAGATCATGGAAACTGAGACCAAAAGAGGTCAATGACTGACCAGCATCAGTGTCCAAAGGAGATCATGAACTCCTGCTTTGCAATCCATATTATTTTCACAGAATGATTGCCTTCAATTTTAAGCATCTGTGTATATACACATATCTAAAAATATTCATTTGTAAAAAACTATTAATGAGAATCATGCTATTATTTGAAAATGTTTTAAATAAATATCTAAATAGCCCTTATTTTAAAATTTCTTTTTCAGGCCCTCCAGTTAATGTCACATGCAACATATTCATAAACAGCTTTGGCTCTATCGCCGAGACAACCATGGTAGGCATGTTTACTTTGAATCAACTTTCATACCAAAATAATTTATAGTCACGTTAATGGCAATTTTTCTGCTAATGTTATTTAATTTAAAGCCAAAATTAATATAATGAGATTTAAAAAATTAATGGTATAAATTGCAATCAACTTCAAGTAATTGTGTTGTTTAGACATGGTATATTAGAGAATAAATGTAAGTGAAAACAAGATTGATTTTTCACATTTCAGTAATTAAATATTAAATGTCAAATCAAAACTGAAATTTTACCATATAAATTATTCATTTCTTTTCAATGACTTTTAATAACCAGACATAAGCATAGGAGTAAACAATTTCATGTTCAGTTATTCTGTTTACTTATAAATGTATTCATAATATTGCTTTCAGTATTCTATTTGATTACTTTCCAAATTAATATATTATTTGCTCAAACATCATGAATATTTTGAAAATTAGAGTATATGCCTTAATTTAACCAAACTCACTGAACAGAGACTTCATTACTATGTAACTGAGAACATTTTATATAATAAGTAAAGCCAAAAAATTGTCATTACAGACCAGGTTTATTCTGTTTTGAATTTTATAACTTTCTCTAAAGATCATGTTGTATCTCTTCTTTGCTTTGTAGTTTTGTGCACTTTAGCTAAAATAAAATGCAGACATGGACACATGAACCACTGAATATCCATAAAATTGTCTAGCGGGCAACTTTTTAAAATTGAAACTATGTATGGTGGTTCTTAAATTACCTAGAATTATACTTCATTCCTAAATTTAGCAAGTATAATTTGCATTAATCTTCAAAGTTGATTTTAGCTAAAATAGGATATGAAATACTTCAAAACTTATTAGATCCCATAATCATTAAGTAGAGAATTATGCTCATTTTATATATATCTCAGAATGATTTCATAGCAAATTTCTAAGGAAAAGTAACTAATATGCAAATTATTATGTCGGGGTTTGTGTAGAGTTTTGTGTTTATGTGTGTAGAGGATCTATCTCAACAGAAAGAGTCTTTTGCAGGCACCATATTTTAAAAATGTTCTTTTCATCATGTATGTAATATTTAATCATTTAGCAGCATCTCTATGATTCTAGTCAAACAATAAAAGCATCAGTGGAGAAAAACTGACCTCACACACTTGGACATTATATATAATTATCTTAACTATAGTATATAACTTAACATGAATGTGTGTGTTTCTGTAAACACAAAGAAAATACATATAATTTACTTGTCTAAGCACAGTGTAGCTTTGGTGCAATTCTGATCCTAAAGTGATTATAATCCTGCTTCAGACTTGGACATATTCTGGATTCTGGTTGAATACATGTTGCTGATTTGTATCCTGCGTTTATACATACACAGTTCAAATCATATTTAAAGGTAAAGGGATCTCTACTGGCTTTTTCTCCTTAGACTTCCCAAATTGTGTTTCTAGTCCTGGCAACTTTCTCATTTTAATTTTTACTGTATACATTGTACAATCCTGAAAACCTGAAAATATATTTATACTTTCTCTTTTGCAAGATTGTTTCCACAAAATACTTTCAACAGCAATAGTCAGAAAGGTTTATAGCCTTACTTATCTTTGTGGGGTGGAGGAAAGGACTTGGAAACAAGAGAAGACATGGTGAGATTTCCTTCTCATTAAAATCTGATAGATTGTCAGTTCCTGAAGGTCTCTTTTTATGACATAATTCATCAGTCTACCACTAAATGGTAATAACCATTAGATAGTTAGAACATACAGTCTATGGGATGATTACACCAACTAAATTTCTTACCTTTAATTTAAAACAGGCTTCCTTTACAGAATATTATACAAAAAGCTTGCAGAATATTGCAAATACACTTTCACAGTGACTCTCACCCAGTTTTATTTTCCTTTTCTAGTATAGAAATCCTTTTCATTTTTACATATTCCACCATAATATATTTCCTTTGAGATCATTTTTAGAATCTATCACTTTCCTCTTTAGAGTCACAAGCAACATCAATGAACATTAATAAAACACCTTAGAGGTTAAGTATTATAAAATAAACTAAGTGTTATAAAATTAATTACATCCATCTTGCTATCTTTCTTTTTAGTTTTCCAAATTGCTAAACATGTGACATTATTTTTATTCACATAATCAGATTTAATAGTTGTAAAATTTTAATGGTATCAGATAGAATAGCTGCAATATGGTATCTCTACACAGAAATAGAGAAATTAGAACTTGTTATTATATTTCTATTTTAAAAATCATAAAATATTTTGCTATAACTTTATTAAGTTGATGTATTTTATTCATAGTTTCCACCATTGCAGCTCTGCAACTAAATTTTATCTCATTGTTTTATTTGCCATAATGTTGCTTAATATGTTTTTATAAAAGCATTAATACATTTTTCAGCACTCTCATTTCTTATACAAACATGGTTTGCTTTTGTTTTTTATAATACAAATAACCTACTTTAAAAAAGATAATGCATTAAAATTGAGAGGATGGAATTTCAAATTACCTATAAACATTAGCAAATACCTCTGCATCCAAGGACTCATATCTCAAATAAAACTACATAATTCTCCCAGTCTATAGATCTCTGCCTAACAAAGATCTTAACTGTTTTCAATGTCCCTACTGACCAAATATATTAAGCTCCCTCTGCTGGTCTAGTCTCAAACCTATTATTTCTCTCCCCATTTTTAAATCCAGCTTCAGTCCCATTTGAGGTAATTATTTGATTCTTGATAAAATTTCTCTTAGTAGATATTATACTTCTTTAGCTATTTTTTGAAAATGAAGTTAATTCAAAATTTTAACATATTTTGCCTCTTCTTGCACCAAGTTTTAAATATATTTATATGCATTTTAAATAGCATAAACTCAAATTTCTTAACTGTTAAACTGATCCTTTCTTACCCAAGTACTAACCAGGCCCAACTCTATTTAGCTTCTGAGAACAAATGAGATTGGGCATGTTCAGGGTGGTATGTCCAAGATGCATGTTGAAAAAAAAGGAATACTGCATATATAAAACTTCCTTTTACATAAACTTAATGGTAACCACTCAAAAAAATTCCAAAACTGAGACACATAACATAATAAAAGAGGAAACAGAGGGAAAAAAAACCCATAGAATACCACCAAACAGAAACACAAAGGTAAAGAAGTAATGGAGACACTAAACTACCTGAAAATAAAAGATAAAATGACTACAGGAAATCCTCATATATCAATAATCAGCCTAATTGTAAATGGACTAAACTCACCAATAGAAAGGTACAGAGTAGAAGATTGGATCAAAAACAAAAACCCAATCATACGCTGCCTTCAAGAGATACATCTCAGCTGCAAGGACAAATATAGACTGAAAGTGAAAGGGTGGAAAACGATACCCTAAGCAAATGGCATCCAGAGAAAAGCAGGTGTAGCCATACTTCTATCTGATGAAATAGACTTCCAGATAAAAAAGGTTACAAGAGACAAAGATGGACATTTCATAATGATAAAGGGGACAATACATTAAGAAGACATAACACTTATCAATATATATGCTCCCAATCAGGGAGCACCAAAACATCTAAAGCAACTACTAACAGTCCTAAAGGGAGAAGCTGAATAAAACACAATTATAATAGGGAACTTAAATACCCCATTGAATAAATCATCCAAACAGAAAATCAATAAGGAAATATCAGCCTTACATGACACATTAGACCAAATGGATGTAGTCGACATTTATAGAGCTTTTCATCCCAGGACACCAGACTATATATTCTTTTCTAGTGCACATGGGACATTCTCAAGGATAGACCATATACTGGGACACAAAACTAGCCTCAACAAATTTAAGAATATTGAAATCGTATTCTCCCACCACAGCGCAAAAAGAAAGTAGGAAAAACCACAAATACATAGAGATTAAACAATGTGTTACTAAAGAATGACTGGGTCAAAGGAGAAATAAAAGGAGAGATCAAAAGATACAAATGGGAATAAAAATACAATATATCAAAATTATTGGGATGCTGCCAAAGTAGTAATAAGAGGGAAATTTATATAATTACAGGCCTATCTCAAGAAAAAGAAAAATCCCAAATAAACAACCTAATGTTATATCTTAAAGAACTAGGAAAAGAAGAACTAATGAAACACAAAGTGAGCAGAAGGAAATAATATAAATTAGAGCAGAATAAATGAAACAGAACAAAAAGACAATTGAAAAAGTTAATGCAACAAAGAGGTGGTTCTTTGAAAAGATTAATAAAATTAACAACACTCTGGCTAGACTCACTAAGGAAAAAAGAGAAAAGACACAAAAAGCAAAACCAGAAATGAAAGAGAAGTTATGATGGATACCACAGAAATACAAAGGATCATACAAGAATACTATGAAAGACTATTTTCACCAAATTAAATAACCTAGAAGAAATTGACAAGTTCTTAGAATATATAACCTTCCTAGACTGAATCATAAAGAACTGGAAAATCTAAATAGACCAATCAACAGTAAGGAAGTTAAAACAATCATCCAAAACTTCTCTAAGAGCAAAAGTCCAGGACTAGTGAATTCTACCAAACATTTAAAGATGATTTAATACTTCTCTGCCTCAAACTCTTCCAAAAAGTTGAAAAAGAGGTAATACTTTCTAATTTATTTTATAAGGCTACCATTACCCTGATACCAAAACCTGGTAAGGGTAACACAGTAAAAAGAAAACTACAGATTACTATCTTGGATGAATATAGACACAAAAATCCTAAACAAAATATGTACTAGCAAGTTGATAACAACAATACATTAAAAATTATACATCACAATCAAGTGGGGTTCATTCCAGGGGCAGAAGGACCCTGCTCAACATATGCATATCAATCAATATTATACACCGCATAAACAAAGGATAAAAATTATATGATTATATCAATGTTTCCAAACAAAGCATTTGACAAGAAACAACATCCATTTATGATCAAAACATTTAATAAAATGAGTATACAA